GCAGGGATGTTTAGACCTACTTGAAACCCAGCCAAGATATCCCAAGACATAGTCCATGCATACAGATAGGAGTCTCACCAGATGAGCGAATCATCTCGTTTTAAGCTGCTGACAAGTCTATGGGATCAGCAGTAACTCTAGGGCTACCTCAACTGACTTGCTGTGCAATCAGGGTGAATCATGTAATTGCTTTCTTCCTCATTTTCCCTATTTGCAAAGCAGGTGGAGCTACACCACTATCTGTCAGATAGGAAGTGGGGACAAGTCCATTACTTGGAGAGCATCTTGGTGATCTGTGAGTCACAGGAGCGCTGGGTGCAAACTAGCAAGCATTTAAGATCTCCAAGAGGAGCTTAAAAGGGATAAAAAGGTGTGTGGAAAACCATGAAAACATGGGTTAGAGTACCACTCCTGAAGGCTTAACAAAGGGCTGTGCAGAACCGGCTGACTTCCCTTGTGACAGACGAGACTCAGCCAGCACTGGGAGCTGAGCCCAGCACCCCATTTATCAGGCCAGCACTTTAACCAGATGAGCCACAGCACCCACTGGCAGGGAGGCCCACCCTGACAGTCTCCATGCTGTGGAGGGTGCGCTCTTCTCTGGTGATGCACGTTCCCCTCTCCTGAAGCCGAAGGGTTTGGCTCTGGCTACCAGTGACAGTGCTCTTCAGGACTGAAGTTATTCCTGGAGTTTTCCAATCCCGGTCCCATGTCTCCTCTTTCTCCAGAGCCACACTGCCCTGCTTGTGGTTTGGGCTCTTTACAAGGAGCACCACAACTCCAGCCTAGGCTAGGTGCTGGGATATCCTCAATGAGGCAAGTCACACAAACAGGGGCAGGAAGAGGGTGAGGAACTGGGTTACACACGAGACAAACGCGTTACAGACTAGCTTTCTGCCTGTAGATTGGAGGTTAAAGGTATAAAAAGAGAAGCTTTGCCAGTTCAGCTAGAACATAGTTAGCTTTCCTGAATTGTCCTTTTAGTGCCAGGTGCTGTTCTGTCAGAGAGACTTCATGGTAAAAGTGTTCATTATCTGTGAAGTGTGAACAGCGTACACGTCAGGTTTTCTGATTTATCCAGCTACACAGAATTACATTTGAGGACTCAGTAACTTTGGCCATTTGCATAGCTCCTTCAGCCTTCCTGCTATCTCTACATGCCAGTGAAAAATACCCTGCCTGCACACACCCTGTGCTCTGGGCAGCCTAAGCGTGGCTCTGACTGACCCTTGTTAAATGCAATCCTTCAATACTAGCATCGCTTTATCTGCTGATGCTGGATAAACCTGCAGTTTGGAGCTTTAAACTGTGCCCACCAGAAGAAAAAAGATGCTTTGTATGTGATGTGTGGGGTTGTGGTTAGACACATCTCAGGATAGCCTTTTCCTGACTCTGGGACAACCATCGGAACGGTCCTGAATTCATCAGCCCAAGAAGTTTTGAGAGAAAGATTTCCTATTCCAGTGTAACAGTCCAGCTACCCAACTGGAAAATAATCTATAAGCTAGCAGCAGGATAGATATGGCCAATGGTCACATCCCATCTAAGCAGGGATGACATAAGTTTGTTATGTCTGCCTATTACAAGACAAGAATACGTTAATCTTTTACTGTTTAGAATAAAGGACCGCATTTTTCCTACATTTTCACTCTTCCAAATCTGGACAGTTGCATCAGAAACAAAAGCTAAGTCAAACTTTGGAAGAAAATGGAAAACATTTAACAAAAGCTCTCGCTTAGTTTGTTTTCCTTGCAACACACAGCCCAAGAAAGACCAAAAACTAAAGGTTGCCCTTTGAAACAAGACCAGGATAAAGGTTAGCACAGCAAGGGGTTGCAGAAAACACCAGTGCTACAGAAGAAGAAACCCTGGGAGGAGGTTCGTGAATGGGTTGAGGTAACAGAGAACCTAAACCCCTCACAGCACAGCATCTGCGCTTAGCCTGTAGCTGAGGCTAAACTGCAACAGTCGCTCTGTCACCCAATGAACCGTCACCAGCCAGGGAGGGGAGGCAGGGAAAGGAGAGCAGAGCCATGGGTGGAAGGGAAACAGATTTGATGAAACAGCACCAACACCAACAGAGACACACAGAATTATACTCAGCCAAATGAGTATCTAGTTGCCACAACCGACTGGAGAGCAGTCCTCAGGAGGAGCTGGAGGAGGACCAGTAGGAACCTCACCAGAACCCCAGCAGGCACCACCCCAAGGAGCTCCCTCTCCCCAGCAAACCTCCCCCTTTATAACGACCATGACGTTACGGGACGGGCTGCACCTGGGGCTCACTCAGGGCAGCTGCCCTGGCTGGCTGGAGCCTGCCCAGCACGGCTGGGTGGGATTCTGTCCCAGCCAAACCAGGACACGCAGAAACGTACATTAGAGGAGAAGTGATTCTGGTTAGCAACGGATCAAATGAATTTTCACCTTCAAAGGGGAAAAATCCTCAAGTGTAAACTATGGACAATGCAACCACCCCCTTATCTCCCCTGCTTTTTCCACACTCTCTCATCTTTTCCTTCAGCTAGGAGATTAAGATCCTATGCATTAAAAACGTGATGGAGAGAATAAATAAAAATGTAGAACAAAAAACTCTACTGGTCAGCATGTTGGCTGCTCATCCAGAACACAAACTGTTTAAAAGAGACCTCTTTTGGAGAGAGCTCCATTATCAGTACTCAAAGTTCAAACACAGAAACACGGATGTGAGGCTACAGTTCGGATACCCCAGCATCCCTTAAAGCAAGTCCCATATTTCACAGGGAAAGAATGTATCTAGTTTTGAATGTTGGACCTGTTTAGAAATCTGAATGTACAAAGGGACAAAGATGTAATTGAGGTATGGAAAGTGGTCAAGTACTGGAACATGCTGCCCAGGGGAGCGGTGGAGTCACCATCCCTGGAAGTGGTCAAAAAACGTGTTGCTGTAGGGCTCTGGGACATGGTTTAGTGGGCGCGGTGGTGTTGGGTTGATGGTTGGGCTTGATGATCTTTGAAGTCTCTTCCAAAGTAGTGATTCTGTGGTTCTGTGAGTAACAGGAAGCAAGACCCCTAGATCTCTTATTCCATAAACACAGCATTTCCTACAGGATTCTTCTCTTTAGTGGCGATTCATGACCTTGGACTATCTGTGTTATCCAAAAAAACCTGAGTGCAGCAGCCACAACTTCAGAGAGTAACTCTTCAGAATCCCTCCCCCAGCGTGCATTAGAGCCTGCTGTAGCATAGGGGAAAAACCCCACGTAACTCTTCCTATAGAAAGTTGCATTTGTTATCAGTTCTACTAGAAATACAAATTTCTGGCAGGATCTGCTGCTGCTTCAGAGCTACGTTTCAACAGAGGACTAGAAACCGCAGAGAGAAAAATTAAACTAGTTAGTGGTGTAACGAGACACACGGAGTAAAATCAAGTTGGGACAGACATACCACCTGGAATGGGAGCTTTCCATGTCCCTTTTCTCCACAACTATGACCCCCCCAGAGCCACAAAGAGACCTTAACACCAAGTGGCGAGGACAGCAGCCAACAGAGGACACACAGTGCAGGCGATTCTCTCTGACAACTGCCAGGTGCTGCTTCATAAATTAGCGAATTTGCTCCCTTCCCTTGCGCTGGTTCGATGGGACTGTGATGAACGGCTGTCACAGCGGGGAAGGAAGGATGTGGGTTTTATAGGCATGTGTTGTGGATTCAAGGCTAGTCAGCATTTTCTTAGTGATTTAGCAGCACAAACCGAAAGCAGAGCAGCAGCATGGCCGGACTGCAAATTCTGTGAAGGATAAAAAATCCTGCAGGATTATTAGATTTAAGATATAGTATATATAAAAAAGCAAAACCCCAGTGAGATTAGACAACATATTAAAATATAAAACTAAGGGGAAAAAACCCCACTGTGAATCAGGGGCCGAACCATTAAGACAACTACCTTTGGAATGATTTAACTACAACAGAAAAGGACAAAGTGTTACTGGTCGTGGTTCCGGTAATTAGTTCACTCTGCTACAATTCCAGGTTTAAAACTCCTCTGCTCATCGTGAAGAGCGCAGAACTCCACTGTCCCCTTCTCATGAATGAAATAATTGAAAGTTGGCCTCTCCTGTACTAAAATTGCAGCTGTTGGTGAAATGAGAAGGAAAGGGGTAGAAAACAGGGCCAGAATGACTTTTTTTCCAATATGGGACAGACTTAGAAACCACCTTGATCAGAATGTTCAAGGCCACCGTGGCTTGTACACCTTACGTTTTGCATGTCCCTTGGGGGGGGGGTGTGTGGGTGTGGGTAACCATTCCTTAACCAATAACGCAGGGCAAGCGATACCACACGGCTGCTGAACAAATTCACATTTTCCAGCTCAAATTAATTAAAAGGCAAGGTCCTGCTAAACAACAGTGTCTGTTCATGACATAGTGAGTATTTCAGGTCAGCAAAATATCTTATAAACCTTCAAGACAGAGCACAACAAAATTTTGATTCCTTTGCCCTGACATTAATGCTTTCTTCAGTGACCAGATGCACAGATTTACCTCAAGTATTTCAGCAATCCCTAGCGTGTATAACCCAAGCACCTTTTCAAGGTTTTTAGAACATTTACAGTTGCAAACCTAACACTGTTTTAATATACACAGTTCAATCTTCTTTTCAAATAAGTAAGTGACATCTGACAAAAGATTTCATGAAGTTTCAGTAAGGTGTCAAAACTTTATTGAGTTCCCTCAACAGTGGTGAGGATTTACGCAGGACATACAAAAAAAAAAAAAGACTAGTTCCTTTTTTATTTTAATCTTCAACAGAAGTACAGTAAGTTTTCTGGTGTCTTGTTACAGTATTCTCATTCATTTGCATGCAGACAATTTTTGGTACAAAGACAAACAGATCTCAGCCCAAAAGTTGAATAACTGCAGGAAGTCACTGAGGTAAGAAATGTCTCTTTCTAACAGCATTTATCCTTCTACGGGACAAGGCATCGAGCTGCTGTTTCTACAATGGAAAAAAGACGACAGGTGTTTTGTCCAAAGTTTTATTTCACCAGGAAGGTTCATACAGTCCTGCACAAAGGCCATTGTACGCGCAACCCGGAGTACAAAGCTCCCTTTGAAAACTCCAGCACAAAGACACTGCATATCAACAGCATTAAACGACGTGGGTGGTATAGGACAAAAAAAAAAATTAAAACAAAGCGGCATTCTTCCTATTGGAAAAGCAGAATAAAACAAGGCACTTTCAGTAAATAAGTGAAGAACGGAACACAAGCTGTATCAAGGATCCTGCAGAGCTGACCCAGAGCACTGTAACAAAATTCTGCAGTAATGAACACGTAAAATACAAAAAGGCACTACATAACCGTCTCCCTGCAACTCCCCTCTCTCAACCAATTAGCCAACTGAACTTGGCACAATGGAGTCTTAATTATAAAGTGCATCTCCTGTCTTAATACATTTCGAAAAATAGGCTATAGAACATGTGGCGATATCCCCACGTGTACAATATATTGAAACAAAAATACATTGCAACTAGAGTCAATCTAGTTATGGACTGTGCAGGAAAAAATATGGCTTCTTTATAAGTCTTTCAATAACCTCCACAGAATCTGGAATATTTTTAAACAAACATGGATGCATTAGCAAGATGGTAAGAGGTAGTGTTCCAAGCCAAAGGCAAACTTACTGATTCTATTGTTACGCGGGTATATAGCAAAGGTATCCCAGATTTTCAAAGCAGCATTACCAAACAGAAAGTATTACAGCATGCCATCTTGGGATGAAAATACACAGTGTTTTGGGGGTCTCATTTTAGCTCCTTCAGCAAAAATGACCAGGTTTTTTTTTCTTTAAAATGTCCAACTATAATCCCATTGCGTAAGTACTTTTTCTCTTGGTACTGTAAGTTTTCCTATTGCATTGCATTAAAATTTCCAGAGGAATATTCTTCAACTTTAGAATTTAAAAACACCACATTCTACACTCTTATTAAATGTAAGATGAGTCCATTTTTACTTCAACAAGCATTAATTTATGGCTATAAGAATATGAAAACACAAATACCAAACAGATAAACACATCAAATGTGTCACTTCAGTGGCAACACACGACACACTAGTTAGATGTGTTTGGTGATTTCAGGTGAGGCTTTCGTCACTCTGCTAGGAAAGTCAGCCAAGTTGAGTACATACGCTATCTAAACTTTAGCTGATTTTAGCCCTTATTAGACTTTAATATATTAAATATATAAAGGCTAGATAGAAACTGAAATCAAAGCAGCATTGGGTATATTTCTTATGTTAATAATTTGTAAGGATTTATGTAAACATTCAAGATGTGCATTCTTGCTCTTTGCTGTAAATTCTTCACAGCTGCTGTATGCCCCTGCCCACAGAGCGCGTCCCAAACAGGAACCTTTCCCAGAAGGCAGCAGCTGCTCCTGATCTATTCTTCTCCATCAGCAGTGTACGCTACTTCGGCAACTTCAATTTCTGGTACAGAATTCTCAGCCAAAGAGCCACTCCAGCACGCCTCATGGTTCTCTTTATCTGAGCTGCAACAACAGATCAATAAGCTTTGTCAAATGGAAACAAATATGATTCTCCATCGTCATTTTATGCCTGCAATCCACAAGACATTTACAAAGCTTGTTCAACTTCCCGTTTACCCCAGATCTAAAATTAGCTATCCTGAGGGCCTTTATGAAATGTGGCATAGCTACAGAGAGGTGCAGTAAAATGCTGAATTCCTCAGCTGTTCAGAATTTATACAAGACCAAACATTTAAACACATACTTTAAGAAAACCTAAAATACATGAGAAGTGAAACAACAGTATTTACCAGCTGTCCTCACCCAGGGTACCCTGGTCTGCTTCTACTGCAGAAGACTCCACCTCACCGCTGCACTCGCTCTCTTCTCCCGACATCTGACGAGTCATTTTTCCTAAAGACAAATCCCTACAACAGATAAGAACAGAGTACCGCCAATCCATACCGCAACCATCGATCACTGAAGAGCTGCTGGTTTCATTTTAAACTTTGTGGTTTTCTGGGAACCGATCAATCTCACTCTTATACGCCCCATTGCCTTTATTACTACAGCTTGCACTGGAGCTATTTAAACAGTTTATTTGCTCCAGCTTCTTATTGCTAAACTAAATCCAATCCCCTGGTTGCATCACAATTCAGTAGCTCTACAAAATTCACGTCCCAGAGGAGCGATTACAACTCTAGGTAAGAAGCTACAAGCAGCTGATCGAAGGCACACACATCTTGCCTAGATGGCAGAAGGATTAACACCAAAACACAGTCGAAGAAAGACAGGCAGCATGATAAAAAAATTTCTTCACTTTTTCCCAAGTTTCTCATTGTAACTTTAGAGTCACACAGTAAGTTTCAGAGGAATACATTTTCCCATTAATGATAAAGAGAGAGGTGGTAATTTTTTCTTAACAGCAACAGGGGCTGGCAGCCCGACCAACCTGGCTACAAACAGGAACATGGCCATGTAAAACAACATGAAAAGCCTTGTTTCCCAAGTATTGGTCTGCATGGAAAACACCTAATCAATTTAGTGTCGAAAGCTGCCAGTTGAATTGGAAAGAAAAGCTTCTGAATGACTTTGTGTTGAAAGTGATACCGCTGTATTCCACCCCCTTTTGAAACTGCTCTAATTACTACGTTTCTATAGTTTTATTCTAACACACACACACTTCAGCAACATGTCAGTGGCATTCTCTAACAGGACTACTGCCTGTGTTTGGGCCAAATCCAGCACCCAAGTCTGAAGCCTTGTCCGACTGTCCTCTCCTACCTCACAGGCATTTTAGGCACCTGGCCTTCAGAGTGGCCAGCAGAAGACGCTTTATTCTTGTTGGGCCATCAGATCAAAATTCCCCTTCAACACAGCCAAAGATAGACCCCTTCCTTTTGGGTTCAACTCCCATCAGACAAGCTCAACTTCTTAAACCAGGTCACAGGTTTACCAGGTAACTTTTACAACTAAAAGTCACAGAAGTTACTTTCCATCAAGACTTCAGACACTACTTGGCTGACTTTCAGTAATTTCAAATGCCTAGGAAACCAGCAGGGTGTTTGTGTATTTAAAAAAAAAAAAAAAAAAAAAAAAGGATCTTCAGGAAAGTACTGAGAAATAAAATCCTTTTTGCTACTCATGCCTTCTTACTTTTAGTCACACAGAATTTCCTATCATGCTTTTTCAGCCAAATGTGAGTTATTTAGTTTTTATTGACTATTTCACTATTTAAGCCAGCAGTAAGTCACAACTTTCTTGTCAAATGGGGGAAGCATCTTTCAAGTGCTATTACTTGCTGCCAGGAGTAACTGACAAACTCAACGTGACATTCAGATCAGTGTTCAATAAGCCACAACAACTCCATTTAAATCCTCTTCCAAATGTAGTTCACTTAAACCTTCTACCCAAAGATCTGATTTGTTAGTCGACCTGGACATGCTAGATTCAACAACCCAAGCACTATTAAAATGACTTCTAAAGGGACGATGGGAATTTACTCTTTTCCTAAGGAAACGCCACAACGACAACTGAGCAGGTCTAGTGGGACACCAAGTAGCCCAACATCAACTGTCCTGGGCCTGCTACAAAAAAAACCCCAAAAACAAAACAAACCAAAAAAAGAAAGGAGACAGGCACCATGAAGTTTTATAATAAAAATAAAAAACTCCCCCATTTTTCCTTGGATTCAAATGGGCAGTCTCCAGTGCCAGTCAAACGCTATCTGCTGCATCCTTCCTGGCAATTCACCAATACAGACATACAATTGCTTCATCACAATGCTCTGTCAAAGCTTTGAGTACAGGCAGAACTTTATAACTCAAAGCAATTTTTCCACTGCTCATCTCTAGCAGGGCATTTCACACATCCAGCATTTCAAAAGCAGAACAGAGTCTTTGCTTTATCTTTACAGGACTCAAAGGATTAGGAAACAATCCCCGTTACTTTAGAAAACACGGGACAACAGTTTCTCAGTCATTTCTACTAAACAACAGCTTTTTAGCCAGCATATGAGAAAGAGCCTACTGAAAAATATTGCCTTGTGTGTGGTTACATAGGTAAAATTGTTTCCAAGAATACATTTAAAGTGGTGCTCGTGACTACATAGAGAGAATGCCTTCATGTAAAGCAACTCCCCAAACCCATACAATTTCTACATACCTAATTCTTCTTTCAACAGCATCTATATGAAGTTGCTTTTCACTTAACAATTTCTTCAGTGATTCAACCTCCCTTTGTTTTTCAAGCAGTTCTTTTTGCAGACGGTAATTTGTTTCCTCCAGAGTTTCACAGAAAGCCTAAAAGACAAATTTAAGAACATCTTCCATTTAACTTCAGCGAACTGCCTTTATTGATTTTTCTTTTAGAAATATCAACCCGTAACAGAATTGCAGCTGCTTTTCTTTGTATTGATTACTATAAAGAGATATATAAACCTTAAAAAAGAAGTTCTGTCCTTAATAAAACAACGCCACTTTGCTTTGAACGACGAATTTCTTATGCTAAACTGCAATACAAATACTCCATCGCATAATTTGTTTGTCTCACAACAAGAGAGACAAAGAGGTTTGAGAGAGGTTTCTAGTCCCTAGTTTTGAACCTTTTCGCCCACACGGAACAGCAGCTGAACTCCCTGCTCCCTTTTCCCCTCATATAAGGTTGGCTTTCACATGACTTGGAAGTCGATTTCAAAGTATCGGATTATTCCCAAGACGCCAGGAATAGCTGGATGAAGTGCATCTTCTTCCCTCACCCAGGATACAGACAGGGTGGTACGGTTCTGTGCCAAAGGGCTGTTACAAATCTGACAACCGCCAGAGTCAAAGGACCAATACAAAGCCATTTTGAAAAAGTTATTGAAATGCCAAGAACAATTAACTACTCAGCCACACTAAGTGCGGTGTGTCACTCTGCTGGGCGTGACGGGTGTACCTAGGGCACGCTGGTGAATCTGCCAGTGGGCAACCTCACAACTGAACGGGAAGAGCCAGCGTATAACGCGACATCCATCGAACGCAGGAAGTGACAGAGCGCTGGTGTGGAGGCTGCTGACCGAGGGCTGGAAAAAGCCAGCCTGCCAACAGCGATGTCACCAACTTAAATAGCTACGATGAAAAGTGATTGTGTAGAAACCAAACTCGAGCTCGTAACAAAAAACATACTAAATCATTCAGACACCCGCAGTAACGTAACAAGAGCCAAGGCACTCCCACTTACACACAAAACAAACTGGTCAATATAAATTCAGTTGAAGGAGCATCACTTAACATTCGTAATTTCTACAGTACTAGCAATGTACGTGCAACTCCAAACCACACTGCTATTCTATAAAACAAGAAAACTGAGACCAGCTGTTCTAGCCAGACTCTGTACGGCTCTGCATGCCAGTGAAACCTACTTCTAAGAAAGCAGGCTGCAGCACAGCGTCATCTGTTCAACATGCTCATACGTGTGTTGAAAGGCTGCTGTTTTACAGCACTACTTAATTATCTGCATGAATGCTATTTTTTGCGATCAAAATTAATCCTTTCATTACATTTCAGAGCAAGAAACACTTTACAGCAAGACCTGAAGTCTTGCGACATGTTGAATGTAAACCTAGAAAAACTCTCCTCATATTCAGTAGTTCCCTTAAAAACAAATTTCATCCACTGGTCATCGAAGGCAAAAAGGAAGACATCAGATCTTGGGATAGCGAGGAAGTAGAGCAGTCAAAGATTATTAGTGTGCACCAATCACACTGTGTCAGGTTTAGGAATACATCCATTTGCAAATTTTTATGAAAGAACAGAAATAAAAACGTTCCATTCCAAATGCTTCAGCAGGTTTTACAATATTCTAACAACAACTACTGCCTTTCCCATTCTGTTTTTATCACGTTACATAGCACTTACCCTGCTCTCTTCTAGACTGTCAAAAGGACCTGGAGGATCATCCAGACAAAGAAATTCTCTCACTGCAAGACTTTACCAAATAAAAGAGAGTAAATTACTTGAAGTACAAAAAGGCAACACTTACATACGATCATACAAGGACAGTATTTCTTTAAGAGACAAAACCATCTATCCTCAAATTTACTCCCAAGTACTCAAAATAATGCTAACAAGCTATTAAGTCTCAGTTGCATGTGTTCACCAGGGAGAGCATTTCAATGTGACTGAGAAGTTCAACAAGTACAGTTGACAGTTCTGAAACAGAGTGTAAGTCAATTTAGAACATGATTTTTCAAATCTTCACGGAATTTGCTGCTACCTGACAACTGACAAGCAAGTTCATCACTTTGGTACCAAGAGGTTTGAAAAATTCTCCCGGTGAAAAATAAATATTAAAAGATAGATGAAAAAGTATGTTGCTAAAGTCCATATGCAGATCCCTTCAGGAAACATCAGCGGAACTAAGCACGGGTACTGAAACATGCTTATGTGTCTCCATGCCTCTATTTTGTTAAGATCATAATCCACTGACATACACAGTAAATACTTTTTAAAAAAGATATATAAGAATAATAAGTTATAAAAGAATAAGTAGTGACAAGGTTAGTGTGCCATGGATATACTACACAGGCAACTCTAAACATACACTTCAAGCCCATGCATTCACCTTAAAATTGCGTAAGATCATGTAACAGTTGTCATCCCCCTCCATGCACTGCCTTGCAAAAGCCAGAAGGAAGCAGGTGTAATCCTGTGGTTTACTACAGAGTATTTTGAGCATCTTGCTCATGCATTCTTCCAAATTTAGATTACTTTTCACAAAACACTTCAACATCTCCAAACATGTCCCTTCAACCACCTTTTAAGACTTTCCTGCTCTGTTGTAGTCATTCTTCTATATACAACCTCCAATCAGAATACTGTGCTCACAATTAATTAGCAAGTAGGAATTTATCAGCAATTCTGTGCTTGCACTCATTACTATAAATCTTTATAGCATCTCCTACTGCAATGAATGCACAAAAATGGAAGATCACAGAATGGTTTGGGTTGGAAGGGACCTTAAAGATCACCTAGTTCCACCCCTCTGCCATGGGCAGGGACACCTTGCCCCAGACCAGTTTGCTCAAAGCCCCATCCAGCCTGGCCTTGAACACTGCCAGGGAGGGGGCAGCCACAACCTCTCTGGGCAGCCTGTGCCAGCATCTGACCACTGTCACAGTAAATTTCTTCTTAAGATCTCATCTAAATCTCCCCTCTTTCAATTTGAAACCATTACCCCTTGTCCTATCACTACCCTCCCTGATCAAGAGTCCCTCCCCACCTTTCCTGTAGCCCCCTTTAAGTACCAGAAGGCCACTGTAAGGTCTCCCCAAAGCCTTCTCTTCTCCACACTGAACAACCCCAACTCTCTCAGCCTGTCCTCACAGGGAAGGTGCTCCAGCCCCCTGAGCATCTTTGTGGGCCTCCT